TCTTTATAAAAAACTTACGGAGAATAATTTGAGTAGTGCTTGCCTTCTTAGCGTATAGCTCATGATATGAAGGCAGCAACTTTTCTAACGCTTCAACAACTATTCCTAAGTTTGCATCAGCTTTACATTTAATCCTTTTGTGCTTTCAATATTGTGAAATAGCTCCATGTTGCTTTAATGTGAAGTTTTTTGCCAGCCTGTCTCTTCCTCTAGACATCTTTATCCTTTTCATCACAGCCACTTCTTTCATTTATGTCAACAAGTTCGCCTTTCCCAAGTTCCTCTGGCTTACCTAGGGTCTCTCAAATAGTGACAGTTTCAACATTCCCACAGTCAGCTATTCTTCTCTACACTTACATTTGATTCTAACTTTACTACTGGCATTAATCACTTTTCCATTTCTTTGCTATACCTCATCTTTGTTGCCTAGTTCTGTCTTTTGATTATCCATTTTTGTAAAATGTCATGTGACAGCACAACTATATGTTTTATTGTCTGTGTATGAAGTGAATAACAGGTGCACAGTCACTTTCAGACTTTGAGAGAAGTGACCTGATTGGTCACTGTTCATGATGCACGGTCTGTTGTTTATATAGTGTTTTGTGAACTGCAAAGCTGGCAGTGAAGTTTTACTTTATGCAGCTACTCACAGTTAATATAATGTGGTAAATTTGAACCATGTTGTTCAGTGACTGGTGGTATTTAACTAAACTGTGGTAACTGAAATTTGTGCATGTCGAAACCATCAAGGACCTCGATATTGAAGACCTATCAGATAGGCTGGATCACAAAAGCTGGTCCATATCCAAAGATTGCTTTCACTTTGTTTCACTCTTACCTCAGGGAGTAAGTAAGGAAAACATATAAAATCAAAGGTACATGGAAGGCAGAGGGGCTCACTTCCCCAGAACCCCTCTTGTTCCTCAAGAAGATGTTTCTGAAGTTTGGTGGTCTCAGCAACCCACTGGGCTTTGCTGCATTAATCCCTTTTGTTGGGGCTGCCATTGAGAACTAGAGGGGCAAAGTAAATTACTCAAGTTTCACAGCTAGTTAATGGCTGCATAGCACTAGAGGTTCTTTTGACACTTGGTTCTGGCATTTATTCTTTTACCACATTTGCTTTCTTCTGACACCCTTCAAACACATCCTGTGCCTCCTGTGTGATGAGCTATGAGAAAATGTGGCCTTGGGAACTTTTCATTATTAGAGATGCCCTTACTCTAGTTATAATACCTCAGAGGTCAAACCAATAGGACTTCTCATTTCTCTTACTTCTAGTAGAGACAGGACCAGTCTTGTACTTATGTAGCTTTTTGAACAGGGGAGCTCTCAGCCAGAACGTGTACATCAGTTAACGTTGCAAGATGAAGAATCCTTTAAGCTTCTCCTTAGATTTTAGCAAAACACACTTCTGATATCAGATGCAGCCCCCAAACTGCTTTATGTTTTCTCTGACATAATGAAGCCTTTGGCCATCACTGCTGCTTTGAAAATCAAAGCCTTCTGGTCTCTAATGGAATGTTTATAAAAATACTCCATTTTGAAATTTGCGCAGGAAAAGGAAGTATGGTAAATGATATTAGAAATCCCTCTGGCTTGCCTTGGCATTGATTCATTTAATGTTATGTAGTCTGGAAATATCTGGAATTAGTGTGAATAAGAGAGTATTAATACCCAAAGTTAAATAAGCTCTTATCCTCATTGTTTTCATCCATGGAAGTATAGCATCAGGTGTGCATCTCTAATTGTTATTTCTATATGATCAAGTAAATTGTCTCTTGCCAAATTTAATATTGGTATCTAGGGTAAGCTAAAAATATGTCAGAAGTCTCATCTGTTTGCATTCTCTTGCTAAGGTGAAAGTGGAAAGTTTTTTTGGATGGAGTAGAGTGTAGAACAGCAAGCCTGTACAATAAAAAGAACTATACTGTGTATATATGTCATTCTCTGTTGCTTTCTCTGGTGTCAGTGAAAAAAAGAAAATAAGCAGTCAAACGTATGAAACATTTAGTTTAGTAATATAGTGACTCATAATACTTACATGTGAAAGAGGCCCAAGGACCTTTGGATTATCCTGTGGTGTTGGCTCTGTCTTGATGTAAGGCATTGATGTATCTTAAAGTAAGAAAATAACATCTATTAAAAAAATATTTAATGAGAAACTACTGTGTACTCTGAATTGTTGTAGGGAGCTAGCTATAATTCCTGTTTTCCTGGAGCTTTTACTCTAATGGGGAAGAGAGAGACAGAAAACAGATAAGCTACATGGACTGATAAATTAATTGATCAGTTCATTGGGTTTCACTATATATTTCTTTTAGTTTGCCCACCAGCACAGTTCCATTATTAGAATGGTAAAAAGGTCTGAATATTTGAAGTGTTATAGACTTGCAGAGTATTGAAATAGAACTTAGGGGAATTGAGGGCATTGACCTTTTAGAAAACAGCTGGCTCCATCAGTGACTCCTCCTTGCTTGTCCCTCTCATATGTGCTTAGTTGCTGGCCTCTTTTAGTTCTCATGGCACTTCAGCTTTCTCTCTGAAGTAATACAAAAAATATACTTAGGCTATCATTTTGACTTCAGCTCAGAACATTCGTTAACTAACTTCTTTTAAAAACATAATAATAAAAAAATTAGGGGCAAATATAGCATCATAAAATGACATTATGTCTGAAGTTCCAGACTAAAATCTAGAATAAGAAGCTGCTAATATTTGGGGAAACATTCCTTATTTGTCACTACTAGGCCTTTGAGTTCCCAAGGACATCCTTTGGTAACAGCTGACTTACTATCTAGTAACATTTGATTTTAAACCATTTGATTTTATTTTTCATCTGAGGATAGTTTTATTATAAAAATTGCACTTAAGAAAAAGCAAATTTTGTCTTGGCAAGCAAATTTAAGCCTGTCACTTTTGCTGTTTGCATTAAATAAACATGCTACATAGTTTTTTCCATTTAAAAATATGTGGGTTGTTGGATTATGCCAGAGTAGTTACAGTCAAGAACCCACAAATATTTATTTTTTAATTTTTTTTTACTTTTTGGCCACACTGCACAGTATGTGAGGTCTTAGTTCCCTGACCAGGGACTGAACCTGAACCCCCTGCATTGGAAGTGGGGAGTTTTAACCATTGGACATCCAGGGAAGTCCCAAGAACTCACAGATATTTTTGCTGAATGAACTTAAAGATCTTTGCCTACCTTTTAAAATTCTCTTGCAGAAACTACCACTCTGTCAAATACTACATTTACAAAACAAAACATTTTTCTTTGGTGAAAAAGGAAAAACTGCCATCATTCATTTAACCAAATACTCATAGTAGTAAACTTTGTCTTTAAAACAAGGAGGCTTGTTACTGAAGTTGCTTTTGTTTTTGTTATACCTCTGGTGTTTGCTTTGATTTTTAGAGGTTGAAGGGAGTGTGCTCTTTCTGGGAGATCAGTTAATTATAGTGAGTAGGTCAGTATTTGACAGCATGTCTTTTAAGGTCCTTTCTAACCCTGAGATTTTATGAATCTATATTTACCTTTGTCCCTGCTTTTTTCCCTTAGTGACAAGAGCAGGGATCATGTAGGGGAGGAGCTGGAGAGTGAACTGGGCTACAGTTTAGGAGGAGGTGATGGGCGTTGAGTGAGAGTCATACAACATATAGTTGTTGACGCAAAGAGGTACAGTTACTGTTGGCTTCTTCTCCGTTTTAATTTTTTAATACTTAGTACATTTTCTTAATTGTAATTATTCTTTTGTAATTTGGGAAAAAAGAAAGAAAAAGATAAATCCATAGATTAAAACAATTTATAGAAGTCACCTTCTCAAGTACCTTGCTCAAAACAGACAATCCCTGAATTCTTCAAGATGGGCCTATATTTACGTCATCAAAAAGATGATTAAGTAAAAGCTTTTTAAAAGAACTTTTGTGGAGAGAAGTTATTTTTCATGGGGTTAGAGTGTAAGACTTATGTTTACTGACTCATAAGAAGCAGTTTCCTGAAAGATGAAATTTCCTTTGGTAGTCAGATGAGATAGAATTTAAGATAGATACTTTATGTCCCTTGGAGCTGGGACAGTCTTATTGATCCTTTTATCATCAGCTCCAAATATACCATGAGCCATACTAGGTGCTCAAAACTTGTTTTCTTAGCTGAACCCTAGTACCCATTCTTAAGGGAATAGTGGAAACAAGGTAATCCCAAGTGAGAGGAGTGAATTTTTGTTGTGTTCTTTTTCATCTATTCTTCAAAATGTTCCTTTTCAGAAAATGTGAAAATGTTTTTATGTGTAGCACATTGGAAGCACAAGCATTGACTTTGTACCTCAAAGTTGGAAGAAATGAAATTGATGTCCCACACAGTTGTGAAATGCCAAAAATAAGTAGAGCTGAAATGAATTAAAGTATTCAGAAAGGCCAAGTAAAAACCTCATATCAAGGGTAGCTATAATTGAAAGGGTCCAAATAAGTATTTAAACCCACTCCTGCTGGAACTGCTAAGATTTCTGAATTTCAGATTGGCATTTTATGTTTGACAAGGTGACATTGTATAAGGAATGTATTGTAAAACAGTGCTGTACGATAGGAAAATGATTGAATGTAAATATTTCAAGATGTGGACCACTGTTCAAATGTTATCATAAATCTTTGCCATTGTTTTAGGATATAACTCTTCATGCATATATGAGCTGAATTGATAGTGCCAGCTCTGAGGAGGGAAATTATCAGCGAGTTTCTGCCTCGCTGCTACTACTAGTATGATTTGACCACAGAAGTAACCTATTAGGCCTTTGCCATTATTATCATATGCTCATTAGTACATAAATGGGGAAACCCTCTTTTGAAGGTACTACATCTGTCATTGCTCTTATCCTGTTCACTGAGTGGTCTGAAGTGTCACTGTTATGTGAAATTAGAATGGGCGGAGACAATTTGCACTCCTAAACTTCGAAAAGGAAAGAAAAAGTCTTGAACTATAAGGTTAACAATCCTTCCATTCTTTGTAGGTTTGGAAGGTTTACAGTAGCTGCTCTTCAGTCCAAAGTAGAACAGTATGAACGTGAAACCAATCGCCTCAAGAAAGCCCTGGAACGAAGTGATAAATATATAGAGGAACTAGAATCTCAAATTACACAGCTAAAAAATTCAAGTGATGAGAAGGAAGCTATGAATTCCATTTGCCAAAGAGCACTTTCTACAGATGGTAAGGGGAGCAAAGGCACCGAGGAGGATATGGCATCCAAGAATCAAGGTGATGGTGCCAGAAAGCAGCTTGGCTCATCAACCTTGAATTCACACCTGGCAAAACCTTCTAGCAGTTCTGTCAGACAGGAAAGTACCAGCAAAACAGAACCAAATGGTTCTAAGAGCAAAGACTTATATCACAAACGGGTGGAAATAATGTTAGATGTGACAGATACAAGTATGGATACTTATTTGGAAAGAGAATGGGGTAATACGCCAAGTGATTGTGTATCCTACAAAGATGAAGAACTCTATGATCTTCCAGCTCCCTGTACTCCTTTGTCCCTTAGTTGCCTTCAGCTCAATACGCCAGAAAATAGAGAGAGCTCTGTGGTCAAAGCAGGAGGTTCCAGAAAGCACTCAAACCATCTCAGAAAACTGGTGTTTGATGATTTTTGTGATTCTCCGAATGTTTGTAATAAAGATTCTTCAGAAGATGATAGAAGTGAAAGTGAGAAGAAATCAGAATGTTTTACTTCCCCAAAGACAGGGTTTTGGGATTGTTGTTCCACGAGCTATGCCCCCAGCTTGGATTTTGAAAGCTCAGAAGAGAACACGATAGCAAATTGTGTTGGAGAAATTTCTTCAAAATTGAGTGAGAAATCAGGCTCATGTTTATCCAAGAGATTGAATTCTCTCCGCTCCTTTGAAATGAATCGGACAAGAACATCCAGCGAAGCATCAATGGATGCAGCTTACCTTGACAAAATCTCGGAGTTGGATTCAATGATGTCAGAGTCAGACAACAGCAAGAGCCCTTGTAATAACGGTTTTAAGTCATTGGATTTGGATGGCTTAGCAAAGTCATCTCAATGCAGTGAATTCCTTGAGGAACCAAATAAGCTGGAAGAAAGAACTAAACCAAACCTTTCTAAAGGTTCTCTAACTACTGATCAGTTAGAAAATGGAAATGAATGGAAACCCAATTCTTTTTTTCTCCTCTCTCCATCTGACCAGGAAATGAATGAAGATTTTTCACTCCATCCCAGTTCTAACCCAGGAACCAATGAAATCAAACCCCCAAGCTGTTTGTTTCAGACTGAGTTTTCCCAGGGTGTTTTGTTAAGCAGTTCACACAGGCTATTTGAAGATCAAAGGTTTGGGTCATCTTTGTTTAAGATGTCCTCAGAGATGCATGGTCTTCATAACCACCTTCAGTCTCCTTGGTCTGCTTCCTTTGTGCCCGAAAAGAGGAATAAAAATGTGAATCAATCAACAAAAAGAAAAATCCAGAGCAGCCTTTCCAATGCCAGCCCATCAAAAGCAACTAAAAGTTGACTCATTAGAAAGGTGTCATTTATGTTTTTGTCCTGAGAGGAATATAAGATTTCAAAATTAGTTTTTTCCCCTCATAAAATCTCTATACCATTTTGAATTGATAATCTTTCATCATGTGTCAAGTCAGAATGGTGGATTAGCCTGTACCCAGGATACTTCTGTTCACTTTGAAGAGTTTTAGTCTTTTTCATTTTCATTTGGGGATCTTTTTGACCAGAAAAGGTAGGGTGAGAGTTTCTTTTTAATGAATATAATACGTATCTGGTTTGGGTATATTTTGTTTTCTTGAATATTGATTTAACTATTCAGGTACAGTGGCCTATTAGTAAGCCTCAGTTATCTTCAGAACTTGGATTTTTTAAATAAAACTTTTGGTGTTGTCCACATACTGCTCATAAGACACTTGAGTTTCTTTAAAGCTTTTCCTAGGGTGGAAATTATTTTGCCTGCCCCTTTTTATTTATGTTTAGTGATAGCCTAACTTTTATTCAAGGCCATGATGGAGAAATAGCACTCGAACCTTAGTCCAATACTCATCTACTTTTTTTTTTTAAGTTTTATGTATATTTTTGCATTTTTAACATTGTGTTCTGTCCAGTTTTTATGAAAATGTGTTGCTAGTATGAAAGAATACATTTTCTATATGAAAATACTTGTTTTATGTCAGGTAGCTTTCATTCAGTCTTCTTTTTGTGTGTGTTGAAAATCAGAAATTGAGCCTACTTTAGCAAGAAGTCATGGAACAGTTGTGTTTGGAGGAGCCTAAACATGGTAGCTTCATCGTTTCAGATATACAGGTGCAGAAGCACTCATTGCCAAGTTCTTGATCCACTTATGTCCCAGGGGAACTTTCTTTGGCGTGGTAAAGTTCTTGTTTGCATGTTACTAATTCTTCATGGAAACTGTATGCATGGTAGCATTCTTGCTTGCACTGTTTTCCTTACTTAAGAAAAAGAAGTTTCAGTTGGCTAAAAGATTATCTTTTATGTAGGCCCCAAAAAACTTTTTCATGAAGAGTGTAAAGGGGGTGAGAATAGGTGAGCTAAGCACAATTTTTAATTTAGATTCTGAAAAGGTATATTATTCTAAACATGTTTGGTATGCCCATATAGGCCTTTAAAAATGGTTTGTATGTTAATGACTTGTTTATCTAATGTGCACTGAACATTTTACATCAATACTGTACTGTTTTACAGTAATACTGCATGCTTTTCTATGTGAATTGAATAAAGGATGTCATAAGCACTGTAATCCTTGATGTTGGCTCATATTGAATTAGCCTATAAAGACCAGTAAAACTTAGTGTTTTTTATTGATCTTTTAATATAGGTGTTGGTGGACTATGGCCTGTGGTCCAAATTCTGGCCTGTAACCTGTTTTTGTGAAAGGCCTGTAAACCAAAAATGGTTTATAGATTTTTAATGGCTTTTAAAAGTCCAAAGAATATTTCACAACACAGGAAAATGATATGAAATTCAAATTTCAGTGCTTTTAAATAAAGTCTTATTAGAACACGGCTGCCCTTACTTGTTTACATTTTATCTAGGACTGCTTTTGCACTGAAACAGCAGAGTTGAATAGTCTTAACAGAGACCATATGGCCCACAAAGCCTAAAATATTTACTGTTTGGCCTTTTACAGAAAAATTTGCTGACCTCTGTTATGAGAGACTCAGGATTCAACAAAACCATAAAAGTATAAAAAGTCACTTTTATGATTTGGAGAATCATGGCCTCTACTTTTAGAAGTAATAAGAGCCTCCTCCCCCCAAAAAAGGCTTAATATAAAGCATAATTTTTGTTCTATCATATTTTTTCCAATAAGTATTTATGCATTATTTTGTCTTTCTGATAATGTTTAAGCTAATAGATACTTTCAGAGATATTGCAGTTTAAATATCTTTGACCATGTGGATATGCATTTGAAATTCTATTAAATGTAGAAATCTAACATATTTCTGAATAGAGTAAATTTGGGGGTAAACCTCACTCTAATTCTGTCTGTAACTCTTTTTTTTTAACCATGAGTGTGTTAGTTTTTTATACAAACTGACACTGTGCCATGGAAATGCAGGGTGTGTAACCTGATTTACTAATGCCTAACTGGGTGAGGGTGTCTCTGTTGGGCTAGAGTATTTCCTAGCTGCTTCAGAAACACTGCTCCATTCTCTCCAAAACAATATTTCATATATTATATTAAATTAAAAAAAACTGACATTTCTCAGTTGAAGGAAATAATCTGTGCAGGATCTGATTCTAATGACACATTCTCATTTGTACTCCTAATCTCTTTACCATAATCTGAAATGTCATGACAAATATGGTGGTCTTATTTTAAAATATATCTATTATATATACACACCCTAAAGCAAGACAAATACTTTTTTTTGAAACCAAGTACTTTGCTAACCTGTATCTCATGTAATCTTCTTTTCGAACTCTGTGAGCCAAGAATTAATTTTCCCCAGTTTACAAATAAGTGAGTTGAGAATTAGTTGTCACACAGCTAGAATGGGATTAGAGCCCTGTCTTGGAGCTGGGCCTCTGACTCCAGACCTTGTACTCTTCCTCCCTCATGCATGGGATGCATGGGAGTTCACATTTATAGGCCAAAGGATGAATGGGTTTGAAGTTTCCAAGGATTCTTTTTAAAGTAGTATTTTGGAAGTATTAGCATGTTCCTTTTCAAGTAGAATTTAATTCCTGACTGTGTCCTCGATCTAAGTCTACTACTAAGTGGAAGCTCAGTGATGGGAGTCGTGTGTGTGCCACTTTTAAGTTTATAAAGATTCACATTAACTCTGACATTTAGATGAATTTCAAAATAGCACTAAGGCTATGTTAGAAAAAGATGCGCTAGTGATAAAGGGAAAAGACAAATCAGTTCATGTCTTTATAAAAACAGTATCTTTTGACTGCTCGTCTTTTTAAAATGCTATGGCTAAGAGAATGTGACATGATGTTAGATATTATTTTGACATGACCTTTAGTGTTTATATTTTAATTTTTAAAACTTCATCCCATCCAAAATGACAAGTCTTTTTCCTGTTCTAATGGATCAACTGAGACTTAAACTGAAAATGTCAGACTTGAAGATATATAGTCCCTTAATTTCAAATCTCTGTTTTCTTACAAGTTCATTTGTATTTACTCTGGTTTGAAACCTCTGAAGGATACCACTGAACAAGGGAAGAGCTTCGGTCTTGATTCTTAAGATGTTTCAGGAACCTGTTTCTATATACTTGAATGGTTTTCAATTCAAAGTGTAATACATGCACTAGACTTTTTCCCCCCTCACTTTTGTACCTGTGAATGATATTTGTATAGAACAGTTTAGTTTCATGGAGTGTGGCCTATTTAGAAGGGTTTCCCAAGGCCTCATAAGAAGGTCTTTCATTCCTATTCGTGGGAGTCCTACAGCAGTCTTTGCCTATCATGATGTAACCCGATCCTTTTAATAATACTTGGCAGAGAGAAAGCCTTTTAAGCAGTGATCTCAGAGTGCATAGGGAACATTTATTGCCTAGTTCTCGGAACCCCACTCTGAGGGAGGAAGCTGCAGCTTTCTTTTAAGAACCCGTCTGAAGCTTAGGCGTGGATGGTCTTCAGTTTGACATGACAGAGGCAGCCTAGAATAAGTTCGATTAAAGTTCCATTTCTTGAATCAAGGTAGATTTCTAGGTCTGCTGTGTCTTAACAGGGAGCAGACCCCCTCTAATAAATGTTAGTTGCATTAACCAAATGTGTAGAAGTGTGCGCCTAGTGTGACACATAATTTGGGGCTGTGAACATCCAGTACCCTAGGGCAAAGATTTGACTTAGGCATTTACTGAGACTTTCTGTGAGGAAGGAGGACCTAGTTCTGGACCATTTTAATTCTTATAACACTGGTGAGTAGAAAAGTGTCTGTATTGGGGATAGCGTGGAGCAGAAAGGAAACCAGGCTGCTTCACGGAAGTGCTATTTGTATTGGGTCTTTAGGGATGAATAAGAGTTTGATGCGGAAGAGGACATCTCTTATGCGCCTGTGTCCGCTCTCCTGCAAGGGGTTGCCTATTCATCAGATGTCTCAGAAGAGGTGCTGAAGGAACCATTCCCTAACATCAGGGCTCCTGATTGAAAAGGTTTCCCGATTGCCCCAGCCTGAGCTGGCAAGTTTGGCTTTGGTCCGCCTCCTCTCTCTTGAGCATCCCCTGAGACTCTAGGCTCAGCCTCGCCGCCAGGACCGGCGGCCTGCTGGCGAGACTGTGATTCCCAGAAGGCTAGGAGGCTCAGGAGGTGGCAGGGCTGGCCCATCATCTGTCCATTAAGCCGAGGCTTGGCGCTCCGAGGACCGGAAGGCGCGACCTCGCTTCCCTCACTGGGTCGTCTTTGTGCTGGGGGTGGGGAGGTGAGGTCTGGCCCGCCCGCCTCGGCTACGATCCCGCTTTCCTTCCTCTGATTCCGGCGAACCCCTCCTTCCCGGATTCTCGAAGCCAGTGCCGCTCCCCCTTCTCCCGGGAGGACAGATCTGCCGGTGACCCTCTGGTCGGAGTTTCCCGCGCTCTTGAGGGCGCGCTCAGCTGCTCCCTCCAGGGCCCCGCCCAAAGAAAGGGCCAGTTCTGCGGTTTCCTTTCGTTTTATTACTACTCGCGAAACCTGGCGATTAAGACGCGAAACCAACAAAGAGTTTTCTTTCCACCTTAACCTTGCACACAATCCCTTAACAAATTAATTAATCCTAATGAATTAACACTTCATTTATTTAAACGCGCTACAGTCCATGAATTAAATTTTCATGCAGTGATTAAAGGCTGTTAAAATATGCATGATTTCGTTAAAATTTTATAATAAATCAGGGCAATGTGTTACATGACAAGGCAACTATTTCCCAGGGCCTCGCAAGGGGCTTTGATTTGTGCAGGCGGCGGGGAGGAGGGGCGGCTGGCGGCGGCGCCTGCGAGCTTCGGAGCCGGGCGTCAGGACCCAGCTCCGCACTTCGGCGTGTGGACTCGAGGCTTC